TTTTACTTAATTTTTACTAAACTGTGAGCAAGTATTGCTTTTATAATTAGAATAATGAAAAGAAATAATAATCGCTCCTTTCTTCCTTTGGTGGTAGGAACCTGCAAATAGTCGTCTACCTCCTCACCTTATTGCACTTGATTCCACGATACCTGGATTTTTTGATGACATTGGGTATCTGGATCTCTTGCCGTGTCGTCCTTTCGACACAGTTTTTATTTTCTATATGAAACCAGGTCAGAAAACGAACCAAGAGGTAAGAATTCTGAAAATTTTTTTGGATAATTTTTTGTGCTATAAATGTATGTTGACTTAAAGAAACTGAAGCAAAATTAATATAGAGAGTTTATTTGGGCCAAGGTTGAGAACTGCAGCCTGGGAAACACTGAAAAGTGCTCCGGAGAATAAAGGAGAGGCTCAGGTTTTTAGAGAAAAAAAAGGACGAATCAGGAGAGAGGGTGGTTACAAAAGTTGTTTGTCAGGAATTCTCATTGGTTTACAGAAATAACATTGATGGGTGATTGGCTATACATTGTTGAACTATAGACTATGAGTTATGGTGTCCAGTGTGGGGCATTGTTAGGTTAATTTATAGCTATTGGTGGCAACACTCAGTCTAGAGTGCATGTATCAGGCAGATTATTTAGGGAGAGTAAGATGTGACTGCTGTCCATTTCAGTGCTTCTCTGGGCCTGATAATTTACAGGGGCTTGCATTCCTCAGATTAAAAGTTTCTTTTTCACATATAGAATTTTATATGGTTTGCACTGTCCATAGTAAGAAATGAATATTTTATACTTGATGCTTAAAGACTTGTTATGAACCATTTCAAACACTGAGTTAGTTAAAACTGTGATGCTTAGGGCTGGGTGTGGCGGCTCACGCCTGTAATCCTAGCACTCTGGGATGCCAAGGCAGGAGGATCGCTTGAACTCGGGAGTTCAAGACCAGCCTGAGCCAGAGTGAGACCCCCCATCTCTAAAAAAATAAAAATTAAAAAAAATTAAAAAAAAAAACTGTGATGCTTAGAGTTCTGAGTCTTTTGACCCTCAAGGAACGTGATTTAGACAGGAACTGTAGCATGCCTTTCTTCCCCTTAAGGAATTCAGATTCATAAGACAAAAGAAACTAAAATTCAGGAAGTTAGGCACAAGAAGCTAAAACTAGGCTTAATTGCATAAGAAGTATAAAATAACAGCACAAATATTTACTGACCATCTTCCCTGTGGCTGAGCATGCCAGGGTATAGCAGTGAGTATCAGACTTTCCTCTTGAGGAGCTCACCTTCCGGGTGATTTCACAAGCGCTGCATTTCAGCGTACGCGTAGCATGCAGCGAGGGAAATAACCCCTGAAATAAAGGATAAAAGCAGAACACTAAGTGAAACACAACTGGATACGTGTAACAGAGAGACTAGGAGAAGGATGAAGAAATATGTAAGAGGCAAGAATGGAAAACTGAGAGCAAATGGCAGGAGATTTGAAGTTTCTGCTGGAAATGAATAGTTGAAGCATGGAACGGGCAGGCAGTTATTGTGACTCGGAAAGGGCTAAAGGAAGATTTGTAAAATGTAGTATTTGGGCGTGTAGGGCACTGTAACTGTATGATCTTAGAGATTTGCTGTAACCATTATAAGCCCATTAGCTAATGAAATTAGCATACCTTAAGAAATTTGCCAGAGTCACAAAATGTTTACCCTAGAAGCACTGTTTCAAATTATTGGTGAGCTATTAGAAAAGAAGATTTATGAGAAAGTTCTTTTCATTTCATGCTGCTGTTAGGTACCAGGGTTACAGTGGTGAACAAGATCTATAAGATTTTTGGCCTCCTAAAACTACTGTCTAGGCCAGGCGTGGTGGCTCACGCCTGTAATCCTAGCTCTCTGGGAGGCCGAGGCGGGTGGATTGTTTGAGCTCAGGAGTTCGAAACCAGCCTGAGCAAGAGCGAGACCCCGTCTCTACTAAAATTAGAAAGAAATTAATTGGACAACTAAAAAAAAATATATAGAAAAAATTAGCTGAGCATGGTGGTGCATGCCTGTAGTCCCAGCTACTCGGGAGGCTGAGGCAGGAGGATCGCTTGAGCCCAGGAGTTTGAGGTTGCTGTGAGCTAGGATGATGCCACGGCACTCTAGCCCGGGCAACACAGTGAGACTCTGTCTCAAAAAAAAAAAAAACAAAAAACAAAAAACTATTGTCTAGAGAGAAGACAGACGATTAAATAAGCAACCATAGTAAACTGTGCTATTAGGGGCATTAAAGCATTTTATAGGAGCCCTAACAGGAAAACCTAACCTGGTTTTAAGAAGGTGTCCTGGAGGAAAAGACATTTAAGCTGATATTTGAGGCAGGCATTGACGGTAGGGCTAGGTAAAAAGTCAGAAGCAGATTGTTACTAACAAAGTGATGATATGTGTAAATTCCCCAGAGGTAAGAGAGCATTGCATCTTTGTGAAATTCGTTATAGGGTCTAATATGCTTGGAGCTTGGAAGAAGGTGAGCTGGTGGTAGGCAAGGATGAGATTGGTGGCCTCAAGTTTTTTGGAAGAACCTCAGTAAAATAGGATTAATTACAGAGATTAAGGGTCTATTTTGAAGGAAGTTTAGTGCGTTGTTCATACGAGAATAATAGAACCATCTTTCTCCTACTTGTAAAAGAAGACACAAACCCTTGAGGCAACTCCTAAACCGGTTCAATTGCCTTAGGTTTCCAGGGTGACTAGGAAACAATGAAGATTTCCTGAGGCCTCCTTTGGAATGGCAGAGACCTGCTTTCCTAGCCACATTGTAGATTCAGATTAATTTCTGGCTACCAGCAAGTGGCCTGCAAGTTGAATTTGGTTCGCTTATTGCTGCTTAACTAAATTTTCAGAAATTGTTTATTTAAAAGTTTCACTTCTAGATAGAAATTTTAATTGCAAAAGCTGGAACTGGCTGTCAAAAGTATCTTGGCACTATAAGAATACCAAGGGATATGGGTGAATTAAATAGTTACCCTGTACACTTCTAAAGAGACTCGTTCTGTATTTAAGAGGTAGTGACCTGGCGGTAATGCCCAGTGGAAGTAATGGGTGTAACTTCTTATATTTTGACTTTCACAAGTGGACTGGCTGCATCAGTCGTTTGGGGAAGCTTTTTTAAAAATAGCGATTCCAGGATCCTGCCTTTGCTGATTTTAGTGTAGAAGGTCTGGAGCAGGCTAAGGGAATCTTATTTTTAGGAAAATTCCCCAGGTGATTTTGATATACTCTGCTCCCTGCTCCTCCCACTTTACTTTTCAATTTAGAGAGAGTTTCTTATTTTCCTCATTTTAGAAGTGAGTTTTCCAACAACAGCACTATTGCCATTTGGGGCCAGATAATTCTTTGTTGTGGGGACTGTCCTGTGTATTTTAGAACATTTAACAGCATCTTTGGCCTCTACCACTAGATACTAGTAGTGTGCCGCACCAGTTGTGACAACCAAAAATGTCTCTAGACATTGCCAGATGTCCCCTGGAAGGAAAAATCACCCCCAGGTTAGAAGCGCTATTTTAGAATGAGGGGCTCTTTCCGAGGCCACTAGGAAGCCAAAGCATTACATTTGGTACTTAGTTAAGAGGAGAGAACCTACTGCTTACTTCATTTTTCTGGAGTGGCTATATTCTCTCCTTTGGACAAAGAAAAGGATATTTTCACACATATTTATTAATAATATTTTATTGAATTTTTAGTAGGTTTGTACTTTCGTAGTATTTGTCAAGATTTGTAATTAAATAATCACGTACCTATATAATATTTCTCATTAAACAGACAGTAAACTCTGTTCCAAAAGGACTGCTTTCTTTTATTTTTTTCTTTTCTTTTTTTTGCTATCACTTCATACATAAACTTTGATTTCCCTATTTTCCCCTATATTGTAGGCATTTTTCTTTGTCACTAAACAGTCTTTGAAGCTGTTGACCTCACTTCTTGCAAGGGACATAGTGTCTTTTGGTAAACTTGTCTGGTTCAGTAAGTGTTTTGCCAGGAAGACACATAAGGGCTGTACTTGCATTATCTCATTTAATCTTCACAACTATTATAATTATCCCTACTTTATAGATGATGAAACAGAGAGGTTAAGAAGCTTGCCCAAGGCCCAGCTAATCCAAATCTGTATAACTCCAGAGCATGCATTTTTCATTATAGTGGTATATCCTCAAATTTATTCTGAACTTGGACTTGATATGTCATAAGCTTCAAAGCTAACCAATTTTTATGATTTATTTTGATATGTTCTTTTGTTTCCTTTGTTATAGCTGATGATTGGTATCTATTTCAGATTTTAAAGAATGTGGAGTCTTCCAGAAACGTTCAGCCACATTTCCTAGAATTTTTGCTCTCCCTTGGCTGGTCAGTAGATGTGGGCAAACACCCTGGTTGGACTGGGCATGTTTCCACCAGTTGGTCTATTAACAGTTGTGACGATGGCGAAGGACCTGAACAAGGTAAAATTCATAATGGTGTTTTGTTTGTTTCTTGGTTTTTTATTCTTCCCCCCCCCTTTACTATGAATTTATAGTCTTGTTAAAATACAAAACCAAACAGGGGTATATAATGGAGAAGTCTCCTTTCCCTAATCTCACTCCTTATAGGGGATAACTTAACAGTTTATATTTTTCTAGACATTCTCTGTGTATATGAAAGATATATACATATAATGATAGAATTAATTAATACAGAATTAATGACTTAATTATTACAATACTGATAAATTCATTTTTTATAGTCTAAGTAAACATTCAGTTTTATGTAAAAATACTGTAATAAATATAGATTATAACAAACAATACAGCTTCCTAGCAAGTGTGTTTTGTCTAATAAATAGTTTTCTATTAACAGATGTGTTTTATAGACTTTGTGAGTCTATAAAGAGTCACAATTCAAGGTTACATTCTTGGGCTATATCATATCCTTTGCAGTAAACAGCTGTCTATCTCCGAGAGATTCTTGCCCAACCCTACAAATCCTCCTGAGGAACTGTAATTAGGATAACGAGTACCAGAGCAAGTCTAAATTTAAACTAAAGACGTTTGCCCCTCCTGGCTAATGTTTTTTGTTCCTGGGCTCCTGATATCCCTGGAATGTTAGTATTATCTTTCTGAAGTGGGTAATGTCTATGTCCAATGCACATTTTTGTTTTGATAAATATATCAGTTGGATATTTATAGTTGCAAGTAACAGAAAACCAGACCCAAACTGGCTTAGGTTTATTATCTCATGTAACTAAAAATTCCAGAAGTTGGTTAAGTTTCTGGTGTCATTTGATCAACTCTCCTGTTTATTTCTTTGCAATTTTCCGTTAGCTCTGCTCTCTGTGTGTTAGCTTTGTCCCCAGTCTGGCTTCTCTCATAGAGCAGAAAGGTGGTTCCAGGTTTTATATTTGTATGCCACACTAGCCTGAAGAGGAGAGATTAGCCAGGTCTCAGAATCCCTGTACCCTGCACTACCCTGAACCTGTCACTATAGCAAGAGAGATGGAATGACCCCAGTGGAGAGATACTGACAAGTTAGAACTGGCGTGAAGGGTCAGTGCCCCCTGTACTTCATGGCTGCTGCAGAGTAGGGGCAGGTAGAGTGGGTGTTGGGCTGTAACTTCAGCGTCTACTACAATAGATACAAAGTGCCCGCCCAGAGCCTACACCAGGAGTCAGCAAACTAAAGCCCATGCCTGTTTTTGTAAATAAAGTTTTATTGGAACACAGCCATACTCTCCTTTGCATGTTGTCTATGACTGCTTTCATGCTGCCATGGCAGAATTGAGTGGTTGTAGCAAAGACCATATGGCCTGCAAAAGCTGAAATATTTACTATATGATCCTTTACAGAAAAAGTTTGCTAACCTTTGGTCTAAATTTCCTGTTTGCACACCTTCACCAGCATTAGGTATCGTCCAATTTGTTAGGTGAGAGATTTTCTGTTTTTAATTATGATTGAGAGTGTCTTCATGTTTTTATTTCTTTCCTGAGAGCTACTTCTTCATTTCCTCTGCACAATTTTTTTGTCAGGCTGTTGGTCTTTTTATATGTTATTGGTAGTACATTGAGTTCATTTTAGTTGAGAACTATATTAGCTCTCAGGAATATTTCTTTTGTTAATTCAACCTTGCTGGCTTAGAGCAGATATTATTACTAAAACTCCTGTATGTTTTTATATGACATCACTGACCACTGGGGAAAGTGGAGCGGAAGCAGAGCTGAGGAGCAGTAGAGAGAGACCAGGCACAGAAATGCCTTGCAAGCAAGAGTCTACATGCTTGCGCACACACACCCATTCCCTTCAGAGAGCCTGGGGTGTTCTTCCGTTTGATTATTTACCTGTTCCAAAAGGACTGCTTTCTTTTCTGTTCTTTTCTTTTTTCTTTTCTTTTCTTTTCTTTTTTTGCTATCACTTCATACATAAAGTTTAATTTCCCTATTTTCCCCTGTATTGTGAGCATTTTTCTTTGTCACTAAACAATCTTTGAAGCTGTTGACCTCACAGCTTGCAAAGGCTTCCCAATCCTTACGAGAGCTCCAACCAGAGAAACGAGCAGTCACCTTCACCCCCGTCCCTCCCCAGTTTGTCCTGCATCTTTCAAAGAGAGCTGTTTATAGGGATCCCTGCACTGGGTGATTCTCTCCTGCATTAATAGGGTCTTATGGTTATCTCCCTAAGGGTGAGGTGGCCCTATCCACTCTGAGGGGACCTACCCCTTCTCTCCATTCTAAGCCCCCAGAAGCAAGAGGGAAAAGGCTTAATTTAGCCTGGAGGCAAGGCCACAGGCATCCAAAGGCTACAAGACCCGCCTACGCATCCCCTCTTTGCCTGGGAGAGGTGGAAACAGGCCCTGCTGAGCAAATAAAATATCCCTGAGGCTCTGGAAATTACCATATTTGCCAAGAATGGAGTAACATATGATAGCCCAAGGTTAAACCCAGGGTTTGGGTTTATCTCCTTTAATCTTCACAGCCACCCAAACATTTGATCCCATCATTATCCACATTTTGCAGATTACCTATATCAGACAGTGTGGTGTCAAATAGGATGCCAAGACCTATTGCTTTTCAAACTTTGCAAGCCTAAAGACTCATTAATTCCCATACAATCATAAATTATCTGGTAATTTTATCTCCATTTTGCAGATTAGGAGCTTGAGTTCAGAGGGTTCGATATTTTACCCAAGTTACAAATTAGTTTCTGGTCCAGTCAGGTTTCCAACCAGAATAACCATGACTCTACCAAATTCTTGCAAGCCTAAGCATGAATCTGTGGACCTGTCTCCTAAATGAGACCCAAGCCCTCCAACAGACATCCCTTAGTGGGGAGCTCAGTGACACACAAGCACACTCTTGTTACCCTGGACACGGGGACCACCCCCTTGCCCCACTCCTAACACATATAGAACCCACAGGGCTAGAGAATGAAGACCTCCTTGACTGTTCACCCTGACTTCCTCCATCATTATAAGCCACACAACCCTCTGACACCCCACCCTCAACCACCTCCCCAGAGACCAACTCTGTCCACCCAGGACTCAGGAAAACCAGGTATACTGTGGTGAAGGTTCAGGACTGCTTTCTTCATCTGCCTTAGGCAGATGAGTTAAAGGCCCTGCTAATCAAAAGTGGTCTGATACGGAGTTGTTTCATTTTTTTTCCTGTCATAATCTGAGTTCCTATAGTCGTGCCAGAAACCATGAAGTTAAGATTTTATGTTCTAAAGTAATGATTTTATGTATAAACACATTTAACGAATATTATAATTTTTTATTTTTGCACACCAGTTGGTTCTTATTGGAAACATATCTTCTATTTATTATCACTTTATTAACCAGTTAACATTTCGTGAAGCATGATGACACTGTTTTTTCCCACTTTTTGAAGCAGTAATGTACTGTTGCTTGTTCCTAGATGAAGTGATTTCCTCTGAAGATATTGGGGCTAGCATTTTCAATGGACAGAAGAAGGTGCTGTATTATGCGGATGCCCTTACGGAAATAGCTTTTGTAGTTCCTTCTCCTATGGAGTCCTTAAGTAAGAGCATTTTTTGCATGGTGCTATTTTAGGATCTATTTTTGTATTCCTGGTTTGTACAGTATTATTGCATTGGAAGAGATGCTGAAGTGATCTAAGGAATTCTTTAGCTTCTAAGGTGTTATAACTATTAGATTATGCAAAGGTACAAGATGTTATCGTCTCTTAACTTTCTTACGGAAAGTAGTTAAAGACAGGCAGACTAAACCTCTAATAATTTTTAAATAATGAAGGAGTCCCACTTCAACCTATTTTTTTCTTTCTTTCATTAATCAATACAGAGAAGGTCTGTTTTCCAGTTTGCTTATTTCTTTCTTGCATTATGAGTGAGTCCTTACCTACTTCCCTGCTCCCATGTGAGAGCCTTTGTATGGAACCCCATAGAATCCTACAACTGGAAGGATCTCATAATAGCGTCTGCCTGAGCACTGAGCAGGAGAAACTTCAGCAGCCTAGAAAAGATGGTGGTCAAGACTGTTCTTCTTAGTCTGAACTCACAGTCTTTTTTTGCAAATTAAGCCTGTTTCTTCATGCCTGATCAGGCAGTAGGTGGAAAATGTCACCTTCTTCTTCATGGAGACCATTTGTAGGATGGGATACTATACATCACACTTTCACAGTCTCATCTCCAGGCTGATGATTTTCTTGTGTCCTGCCTTGGCAGCTTCCTAACCTTTGTACTTGGATCCTTAATTTCCCACTCTAGGCTCCTCCCTGTCTCACACTCTGGGGCCAGTTGTGTCCCTGGCAGGATGGACCTTCCATGGTTTAGGACATTATTATAGCAGCTGTTTTCCTTCCTGTCAAGGCTCTGATCTACCACCCTAATTCTGTCCTCTTTGGGCTGAGTACCTGCCTTATTTCGCTGGCCTAGCCTGTTTACACCAGCAAGTCCTCCCAGAGCTAGAGCCTTGTCCTTGCATTGTAGACCCTGAAGTTGGGTCTTTGCCTTCTGTCGTGAAACATCCCCTGTGCCAGCTGTGCCCCACTCCAACTCAACTTCCTCCTATTTCTTGATATTTGGGATTTGGGGGGAGGGGGATGATGGGTAACTTTCTGTGTGTTATCTCCAACCGGATTGCTCTTTAATCACAGAGACTAGGTCCTCTGTGGCTTTTGGGTGTCCCAGTGTCTATTTGG